TCTCTCTCTCTCTCTCTCTCTCGTTGGATGCGACGAAAAAAAATCGCGCCAGTCGAAAAGGACAGGGGCGGGTTTATTCTGACAAAGGGACGGTAACGGATGACGAAGAGCGCAACGCGCGGCTGTGTCCACGTACACCTGTATTTACCTGCGCCGCTGGTGACGTGCAGGTTTCTATCTGGGTGAGAGCATACGTCTGGAAACCGAGATTCGAGCAACCTTTTTGCGCCTTAAAGCTGAACGCTCGAAACGACCAACATTTCGCCTCTGGTCTTCACGTATTTCTGGATAATATCTCTTACTTCAGGTACGCGTACGATACTTTGGAATATTCTTTTGAAACAGCAACGTGTACAGAAAGAAATACTGATTTTCTCGAGTTAGCTGGTAATTTACATGAATGCATGATACATTCGAAGTTTTATTTTTAATTTTAAATTTCAATTGGGATTCGGAGGTTTCAGTTTCCTTACGCGGTAAAAAAAATTTGCAATTAAGATTTGATTAGAGCGGCGCTGATGTTGTAAATTGAAGCTTTATTTGTTTTTTTAAACAGCGAGCCGACGGTAAATAACAACGACGGTGTATAAAATGCGGCGGATTATTAAACGCTTTCGCCGACAACCAGCGTTCCGTGTTTCTTGCTGCGTGGTTTCGAGGATAACAGCAGCTGCAAAGCGCAAAGAAGAAAAAAAAAGCTCAGGCGATGCATCCATTTTTAACGCGCCCCTCCTCTCGTAGCTTTAATCATTAACGCTCGCTGTTTTCAACTTCAAATAGAATGTTGCAACAGACACGACGGCGGTAAAATCGTGAAACAGCGGATCGATGAGAAAATGAACGAAACAAGCTCTCGATTTATTACGCCGCGTTCTCTTTTCAAAATAAGCATCCAGAGAACGATCATTTCGCTGAACGATGATAAATCAAACGGGAGGAATTAGAAACTCTTTGTATATTTGCATTACATTTGTAATGATTGTTTACAATATTTGTCACATCATTTGCGCGAGATTACGGCTGCAGTTAATGATACGAAAGTTAAACAGCGGCGCGACGACGAAAATTTCGTGCGTTTTCTCTCGGACTCGACCGACAGAGAAATGGGATTGTACAGTTCTTTTTGAAATATCGAGGGAAAAACTAATTTTATTAAATTATTATTAAATTTAAATTCAAACTTAAATTAGTGTTTACTTTAATCTGTAGAAAAAAATTTTTTTTAAATATATGTGATAAAAAAAGTTACCGATTTATTTTAGTAGGGAGTGATTTTTGGCCCGCTCTATAAACACGATAAATGATCGCGGATTTTAGATCACGATTTTTCATTTATCATTCCTCACTTCTTCCAATTTCTTGGCAAATAAGAATCTAGATCGAAAACAAACCGCGCAGCAACTTTCACTAACTTACCACGCGTGCACACACACACGCACACACGCACAGACGCACAAAGCGCGATCGGTAGCTCGCGAAAAAGCTCATTTCCTATCCAACCTCCAGAATGAGATAGCAGTCGAAGCGAAGCGAGGGCTCTGATATCGTTCGTGCGAAAACGACGACGCGTTCGAGGGGAGGGGACTCAAATCCAGACTCGAATCTCTGTCGAAGAGATTCGTACCGGTGTTCTTCGTTTTTTGAAATGGAGCTTTTCCCCCGCTCGGTGCTCTAGCCCGCTCGAAATGACGCGGACGGCTGGTTACCGGGGAAATACGCGTCGATTTACGTGCAAATTACGAGGCCGAGGCTTTCCAATCGCGCGCACGCTCCCCTCGAGAACCAGCTCTCCGCGGCCGAATCTCGTCCCGGAAATTGCAATGTATCCGGTCGGCCAAGTTGTTGTCGGCCGCTTCGCGCGCGCGCGAAAGTAATTAAAGCTTTCGTGCTTCCGGCCCATTGCCGCGTGAACTCGTTGCGTCAGAACCGCGATTGAAGTCGCCGCGTGTCGCAGAGTCGAATGTTTCGATCGACGAAAGAACGCTTTGATTCCTAATCGTCCGATCGAGCGTACCACGATCGAGTCAAATCGATTCATTTTCTTTTTCCTTTTCTTTTTTTTTTTTTTTCTTTCTTTCGAGGATTTTCTCTTTCTCTAAATTCGTGGTGTGGTGTAGATACTGCATTTTTTTTTGCTTATCGAAGATTTGTATTAAAAGCGAAAGGAATTACTGTACGACGTGATTAAATAATTCCTGAAAAGAACTCACTTGTGACGTGAAAATACGTCTCCATTGTTTTCAAAGAACCGATAGTTTTGCATTAACTCTCTCGCGACAAGGAGGGCAGTTACGAGTTATTTCAATTACGAGGAAAGAACAAGTCAATTTTTAACGTCTGAAAGAGAAAATATTTTTCAGTCATGAGTTCTGTTTTATTTAAAGAGACTATTTACGATATATATATATTTTTTACGCTTTTTTGTCCTACCGTACGATTAAGAGCGAGCAATCTTTGACTTTTAAACGGTTTTTCGAAACTATTTGCAATTCCAGTAAAAGAAACAAATAATCCCGCGCGTACACATCTGTTCGAAGTTGTTCCCGAAATAAAAGAGAGAGAGAGAGGCAGAGAATTGTGCGTTCTCTCTATTGTGCGTCGACTCTTTTGACGCGAGTCGAACAAGGTAACAATTTTCATGCCACGATTGCCAGATCGATCGTCCGAGTCGGATCAACGCGGGAAAAGAGAACGAATTTACAGAGAGGAACGCGAGACGAGAGTTTCGAGTGGAATTTTTTGGCGGTACACTTGCTTTATTGAATGCGATATTGCATTTCGCAGTAATCCTGTATGCGGTGCATGCTCTCGACCAGAACATTTTATATCGTGTTTAGTCTATGAAACATCCTTGGGTATTGGATTCAAAACTCGCCTAAAATACAATCGACGTATATTGAGAGAAAAAAAAAAAATAGAAGGAGAAAAAGATAACACGCGATCGATTGTCGTTTACGACGACAGTTTATAACAATTTATAGAGGTATTGAAAAATCGATGCGTTGGACAAGAGCGGTGATTATTGGCGGAATGGTTTCGTGCGTCAGGGAAAGGACCAGTTCTTCCGTAGCGCGACAATATGAAAATTTGCGAATATCGATCTTTCGAAAGTATCACGAGTTTCGCTCGTTTCAATATTTCGCGAATGATCGCGATTCGTGTGTATGGAGTTCAAATATTAGATCAATGTAATTGCACCAAGTGTGTCGGCCGGAGAGGCGAAATCTCGTTCGATCGATGAAATAGTTTCATTCGGCAAGCATAAACGTTTGCCTATCTGCCAAGGCTCAAACTCAGCCGCTCTGAAACTTCTTAATTTCCTCTTTCCTTGCCCCTTTCCTGCCCGCTGCGATACCGGGCGTTGATTAAAATCATTCGTCTTTCGTTCATCCGTTCCCCGCCTTTCTCATTAATTTGCCTCGAAATTTCTTCGATTTGTCTTGCGTAGACAATGACAACACGATAGTAATGCATCAAAAAAAGGTACACCTGCTTCTCTTGCGAATGTGTTTCGATAAATCGTTTGCTACGTACAAAAGTAATCGAAAGTAGCAACTAATGCAAGTAATGTAATTACATTGAAAAATCGAAAAGGTATCGACAGGTTTTTCTTTGTAGTTCCATCGTACATTCAGAATGTGAGAACAGAGTACAAAATATTTCTAATGGCTTGAAGACAAGCAATATCGTTCGATAACATTCCAGTGTTACAAAATTTTTGTAATTTTTCTAAGTAACATTAAATGGAGATTAAGCTGTTATACTGGCATTACAAATGTGTCTCGAATTTTTGTATTTCTCGCGTTATTATTATATAGCTCATTATTGAAAATTGCTGTCACTTTTGCTAATATAATAACAACGATATTGCCGAAAAATCTTTTCTCACCTCCCCATACGATAGAATAAATTAAAATAAATTTAAAAAAAAACCTCAAACTTAAAGATAACGAAATATTCTACAATTACACTAGCTGCGAACTGCTGTGTCATCGAAATCATTTTCAATCACACTCAGTTATCCAGTAGACGATCATTTTTCACCGTATAGATCCTACGAAGCAACAAACTTCCTCTCTCGTTGGAACGCTGCCCTCGCATTTCAAGTGTTACACGGCTTACTTGTTAGTATAATTGTCACTTGCCAAGGGTGTCAGTTTCCGTCGATTTAGCATCGCGGCGACCAACCCGAAAAAGCCGAAGGAACAAACTCTACGAGCGTACAGGCCGCGAAATATCGATTGAACGACCCTGTTCGAGTAGACGCGAAGCCAGACACGTCTATTCACCGTCGCCTCGTCTCGCCCCGGCTATCGTTTAAACTGAAGCGAAGCCTCTTTGCGGTGTCTTAGTCGGAATTTGGTCGCGGCGGAGAAGGCGAACAACCTTCGAGAATCCGCTTCATTTATATCTATCGTACGTGTCCCACGTGCTCGTTCCACGGATTTCTCTGTCCAGGGGAAAAGAAATAAAGGTTGACGAGCATCCCCTTATTCCTGGTCTGAGATTCAAGAGGACCGATTCAAGAGGGTAGGTTGACCCGTGCATTGCTTTACCACCGCGAAAATAAAAGGATTTTATTTCATTATTTATGGTTCACGGGTTTCGAACGTGGGACGTGTTGCAGACCGAGTTGCAGTGAGATAGTTCGACTGGATTATGGAAGATGAGACATCCAAGCAAGAGGAATTTCGAAATCAGTCGATCGATCTTAATT